TGTGTGTGTGTGTGTGTGTTTCTTTTTTTTAAGTTTTGTGGCAGTCAAACAACTTACCAAGATAGTCATAGAGAAAATACAATGCCACTATCATACCACACATCAGAACCACAAATATCAGGATAACTTTAGGTGACAGATCAAATGTGTCATCCTCCTCCTCAGATCTTTGACCTTCCACATCTTCCTCACTGCTGCGGCTTTTTTTCCGTCTGGAATACAAATCAAATTCTAACAGACACGAACTCTTCATATTTTTCAGAGAGTTAAGATTCTGATTAGTGTGACAACACATAAGAAAAAAAAAAGACTTATTACCTGAGTTACAATTTATTTAAGACTTTACAAAATATGTCATTAACACTGTAAGACAGGTACAGGTGCTCTGCTGTCACATGTAAAACAGTCTTCCACACCAAACACTGCTGCATTATCCAAAGCTGCCCTAACAATCCATTCCAATTCTATCACACCCATGCACTTACTGTTTGTGTTTTGTTCTTCCTGACCATTCAGCCCCAATGACCAATGTCCCCACAGCTAAAGTCCAGATGATGAACATGTTGTAGTCTACTTTTGGCCCATCTGGGGAATACAGCCATACACTCAAATTGGACCCTAGTGTCTGCAAGAAAATAAAAAACCCTCTGACATAGACACAATAATATCTCACATCTACGCCGACATCCACCAGCCACACACACATACATGGGCGTGCATGCATGCACGCACTCACACACAACTTCACACTTGCAGATACACGCATATATGCCTTTTTACAAACATTTCAGTTCCCACCCTGCACATATGCATACAGTGAAAACTATTTCACCTCTACACTCAATCAATCAAAGAAGTGTGGAAACTTACAATATTTCAGTGCACTGTGCTTTTTTTCTATTGAGATATCAAATAAAAAGAGCTCATTACAAAACAATATTAAGTATAATTTAAAAATCATACCAATATCACTTTTTTCCGTACCTTAATTTGCTCATAATCATTGTGATGTATAATAGCAACTGCTATAGATATGGAATCATAATCAGATTTGTTAGCAGCTGAAGGCTGGTCCTGCAATAAAATCATAATACCAAGATACGTGAAAAGAATAATGTAAAATTAAAGCATATCAATAAATCAAAATAAAAATGATAATAAATTGAATACCAGTATAATAGAAATAAGGTTTTTCCAATGAAACATTATTCAAACTCTCCTTTGTTTGCTTTCATTCAGAAAGTTTGGACATTCCATGTCCCCCTTATTGTGTCATATTAGTTTAAATTCATTAACATGTATATTGTAAAAAATCTGTACATGCAATATATGCAAAACAATACAAACAAATCAGATGACACCCAGAGGTGGTCACTCACCAAATTCTGCTCCTTGCTGACCACCAGGGCTGTCCTACCTTGATGGCCCTGGACAATCCTGGCTTTCTCACTAAATGTACAGTTGCCTCTCTGGACAGCCACACACTTACTGTGCATGTTTGGGAAGGTGCCATCCTCACAGAGTATTTGTGGCATCAAATCAAGAAAAGGTTCTCTCAACTGAAAGAGTAAATGATTTATCATGTACGTCTCTATGAATCTAAGACATTTCATAATGAGCAGCTCCCCCTTCCACTCTCTCTCTCTCTCTCTTGTATAGTATATGCTTAAAAATCACATGTTACAAACTGGAAATATTTTATGAAACTGAAGGCCACTTAAGCCTACTAAGTACCCTGTCCGTCAAATTTGCACTTTTTAACTAGCACCTCCATTATTATTATTATTTTTTTTTATTTTATTATTTTTTTTTTTTGGGGGGGGGGTATGCTCATAAGGATAACAGTGTTCAGACAGTACTGACTCTATGTTCAGTTCTAGGTCTATGGTACAACTGTATCAGCAAAAACTGTTAAGTTTTTTGTTGTATGCAGACTGTGAGTTCATGTGGTGGTGATATGATATAGGTTTTAACAAAAATATCATTTGAAATATCAAGGTCACACATACAGTGAGGTACTTGCAGCCTTTGGGGCCATACCTAATAAATCTCTCTTTTAACCTTTGATCAAGCTGATTTTCAAGTGTACAGCTAACTCTAAGCAAACATGAAATGTATTATTCAGATCCATGTATGCAGGTCAAGTGTATCATTTAAACTTCTGCATATTGTAGCTTTAAACGATGCAGTTGCTTCCAGATGCAATTTGCAACCCCTGTTGTTGTGAACTATAAGGCTTAAAAGCTCAGTGTTTGAAGTTTTATATCCATATAACTTTTTTGAGCGTTTTGGCAAAATTCCAATTAAAATAGCTTAAATATCTGCATGACCAACACATTTAAAGAGGTAGCATGATTTGTATAAGAATGTTTTTCCAGTAGGGCAATATATCATAGGATAAAAAATTTAGTTATGAAAAATTATATATAATTTTTTAAAAATTGCCCACAACTTACTGCTTCCTCTCTTGTCTTAGGTAATTCATGAAAACCAGGATTGTATGCAACACAAAATAAGCCTGAAGATGTTGAGTCCTTATCATTCTGTGCATACAGTAGTCCTAGATCTGCTTGGACCTACAAATTAAATATTTTTTAAATTAAATATTTCACAAAGAAAAATTAATTATATCTTGTACATTGTACTTTGATGAAGGCTAACCAACTTATTACTGCATAATTTCCATTTCAATGAACAGAAACAACTAATTGATATTTTTAACTTTATAAATATATCTATTTGAAGACAGCATGCATGCCCCAATGTACATGTACTGTAGAGGTTTTACTAGTATCCCGGCTCCTCCCAACACCTCATTTCTAATCATCCAACAATGCCGGAAACATTTCATTTATCCACCAAACACCGAAGCTTTCCGCTAGTTTCGGTTTTGCAAGTTGCCAGTACATGTCCACGTACTAGTACAATGAAAATATAATAACTAATGACGTACCATAATAAAGCTGAAACCTGAGGAAAGATTTCAGCAAAAAAATCCAACATTGTTATTGTAAAGTATATTGTAAAGTTAGAGTTAACAGTCATATTTAATACGAATGATACCTGATTGCTGAGACAAAGAAGGTAAATTACAACAACAACCACATTTCTAGCTTTCACCCCAAAGGACTGGAACGAGGAAGACATTGTTGACATCTCTCAATATCTCGCATCTTTCACGAGAATACAAAGATGGCGCAGGTGCGTGAGTCCCACGTTTTTTGTTTTGTGGCGACACCGCGTGTGTTCTGTTCATATGAGTACTGCGGTGTGTTAGTGTGAGGATAATTGTCAAGATTAAATGTTTGAAAAGCAAATTTTACCTAATGGTGTGTCGCTGAAGTTCAAAGTTTAATACCAAAACCAATAATCAACCGGTTCCAGTGAAGCTGGGTCTCGCCTCTCGACAAATCGGTGATATTTGACAGTACTCCTGTTGTAACAGGAATGGTAGCCCGCTAGTCCGTTCCCCATTACTTTTCACGGTGACATTCGTCTCATATACTAACCCCAATACTTCTACTAACCCTAACCTGAACTTATCATATGGGACCCCGGACTTTCATTCCTAGGACTACCATTCTGTCAGAACGGCAGTATTCGTTTTGTATATATGGGCATGATTATACCACCACCTTTCCCAAATTATTGTGTTGTCACCAGTCCATTTCTATTTGTCATAATGTGTGGGTATATAATTTAACAATATGTTACACGTTTTCTCTCCAGCAAGGGCAGGGTCAAGGGGATCAGAGGGAGAAGAAGAAAAAGGAAAGCATATTAGATTTGAGCAAGTATTTAGAAAAACCCATCAGAGTTAAGTTTAGTGGAGGAAGAGAAGGTAAATTTGATGGTGCAATTCCAATATAGCTTTACATGTAGATATTGTTTAAGGTACAGGGCTGTGATTCGGTTGTGCAATCTGTTTTTTTTATGACTGAAATTTCAGCACAGCTACATGTAGCACGAAAATTCATCCGAATTGACGAATCTGATATGTACTGTCTGTGCTAATGCATGAAAGCAAAGGCCTCAAAAAGTTGGAAATGAAAACCGGTTGCCAAACCAGCCGTGGTGCAGCAGCTCTCAAATTTTTATTTTATATCTCATCTCCTCAACACGTACATTACTGTGACGCCAGATAGTACATATCAGAATCGTCAATAGGAGTGCTAACGTATGAATTTCGTCCTAAGCTACATGCATCAACTGGGTTGCGAAAATTGTGATACATTGTACACTTCACTCTTGCAAAACTTGAACTCTGGGTGTCATATGAAGTATGTGATACTTCTGGTTTTTACGGAGGTTTCTGTTTCTGGTCTGTTGGCTATCTGGTAAATATGTGAACGAGGATAGGTGATACAGTGTAGCAGAAGAATAACCTCTCAAATCCAAATTCCACATACTATGTTTCTGCATGTTTTTTGTGTATGTCTTTTAGGCACATGTCATTAGTTATTTAGTGATAAATATATAATACATTAATTACTAGTTATTTAGTCAACATTAAGATGCTTTCAAATTTGTTTTTGTAATAAAAAATTCTTTTCTCCTTCCACTTTAGAAATAGTACATACTGGTAAACATATGTAGTTCTTTGCCTTACTTTTAATGTGAGATAAATCCTTTATTATTTTTTTCAGCCAGTGGAATTCTGAAAGGGTTTGATCCTCTTCTTAATTTAGTATTGGATGGCACAACAGAATACCTCAGAGGTAAGGACAGCATGTTGTATAATGGATGAAAATATTTGGATCACCAAGATTTTTAACAGGCATAAAGGACAATTTTCTTGTATCAAATTAGGTTAAGTATTGCTGTTATACTTTTGAATATACCATGTAAAATACAATTAGATTAAATAGAAAAGCAACTGTTATGTACACCAATATTTGAAATCATAATTGCTACAGACAGTAAACATTAATATGACCCTTTCCCTAGAAATAAAAAGAAAGCTTTTGGAGAAAATGTCAGGATAGTTTATATGAGCAAATAGGTGAAATGGACATAAAGGAAAGACAAAATATCATAACATAAACTTTTTTGTTTTGAGCCATTTTATAGATAAGGAAAATGCAGCAAAATGTTTGGAAAATATGTTTGAAAATAAATAATATATTTTATTTGATGGCTGTAACAAAACTTTTTGGTGATGCAGGTGGTTTTTCTTAATAAGTTCAGTATAGGTATTCTACGTCTTTTATTTGGTTGCCCTCTAGTTTACATTTTTATGCTTTTTAGACCCAGATGACCCTTTCAAGTTGACGGAGGACAATCGCCATCTAGGCTTAGTGGTGTGTCGGGGGACATCCGTAGTTTTAATATGTCCGGCTGATGGAATGGAGGCCATACCAAATCCTTTCATACAACAGGACGGCTGATATTATACTATAAGTGGATCATATGTTCTGATTTACTTGGGTTGATATCTTTTAGACTGAACTATAAGACTGAACCAAGTGATTGTGTGTATATATAGACTGGCTGGAAGAAAATCTCAGTCTTTTGCCCTTGAGTAATGCAATGTTATTTTTAAAATAAACATTGACACCATCCATGCAGATATGTACATTGAATATGAGCATGTTGCTCTGAGAGGGTTTTGATAGGCATTGCATAGTACATGTAGCTGTCAACTAGACTAGATATGGATATTTAAAGTGATTTGAAAGCGATTACTAAGAATGCTTATGGAGGACTGGTTAGAAGTTAATCGCAGACAAACACAAAGCCACCAGCATATTGTCCTCCACTGTGTTTTCATATGGTAGCATTACCAAATTGACAGACACAGCTGTAAACTTTGAAGACTGGGTAGTTCATAGACATGGCAGTGAATTACCTTCATCAGCAAGTTAAAACCTGTGGAGGTGGTGTTCAGTGTCATAAAATGGCTAATCCACGGCCAGTACAAAATGTCATTTCAGAATCCTTGTAATTTGAAGCTAGGGGAAGTCACCCTGGCTTTACATGCATAAAAATAAAGAATAGTTCTAAAGTAATTGTTTTGTAAAACATGGTTGTATTTGTTTACACAGGATATTTCATATACTTTCGTTTTCCATGGTAACATTGGTTGGTGATTACAGTTGAGCTCAGAAAAAATGGGATGTTTTAAAAGTTACACTTTTTAACAGCTTAACTGGTTACTTTTTATAACGTCGTCCCTCTTTTATGAATGGATTGTGTTACTCGAACCAAGAACATAAATTGAATTTTCAATGTTCTTGCTTAAACAAAATGAATGTCAGCTCACTGAGGTATCAACAGACAATAGTTTGGTGTTTCAATGCAGCAAGGAGTGTTATCCCCTGTCTAAACAGACTGTGACCACAGAGGTGTTAGCTGTGATACCCTATAATTATCATTTTTAGCTAGATAGTTACTTTTGGAAACAAGAGGTACACTGTAAAAAACATAACAATATGGAGCGTTCTTTCTGAGCTCATCTGTGAGAACATTCACATCGAGAAGAGCCAAGGTCTAGCAAGGCCGAGACCTAAATATGGCGGACCTACATGAAAGGAAGACCGCGTTATCCTTAAATGGTCTCTCAATGACATTCACTGACATTCATTGAGAGATCATTAAAGGAATACACGGTCTTCCTTTCTTGTAGGTCCACCATATTTAGGTCTTCTCGATGTGAATGCTCTCTGTATGCACAGACAGATGAGCTTGTACATATTGTGTCTGTCGTCGGTCTTGTCACCGTGCACTTTCATTGTTATACAAATAAAATGAAAACGGTTTTACCTTTTGTTTTCAAACTTACAGAACTGATGAATATTCATTAAATTCAGGACAAGTTTGAAAATCAGCCCGATTGGACCATTTTTTCCAATTGTTATGCTTTTTTTTGTTTTTTCAGCATATTATATCCACCATTTTACAAATAAAATGAAAACTATTTTACCTTTTGTCTTCAAACTTACAGAACTGATGAATATTCATTAAATTCAGCTCAAGTTGGAAAATCAACCTGATTGGACCATTTTTCCAAAAGTAAAGCTTTTTTTTTTTCAGCATACTTTACCTACTATTATACAAATAAAATGAAAACCATGTCATATTTTGTTTTGAAACTTGCAGGACTGATTCAGAGGTTTGATATAGATTAAGTTCAAAAATTAACTTGATAAGATTACTTTTGTTGAAGTAAAGGCTGTTTTTGTACCCTCTACCAGGGCGACAGATTGATTTTCCACAGATATTCACAGATATGTCTCTAGATAAATAGACAGTCATTTTGGTCTGTTTGTCAGATTCAGCCCCTCACTATGTTCAGAATCTCAAAATGGAGCAAAACGGACATTTAAAATTGCTTTTTGATATTTTTCCATATCTGAACAAATTTTTAGTTGATTGTTTAAAAATGAAAGTAAATTGGTTACATTATTTTTATAAATCTATTGAACCAAAAATGCTTTGATAATGTTAACAAATTAAATGATATGTACAATGCAGATCATTGAAGAAGTTTGATACAGGTTATAGTTATTGTGATTGAATTGCTAAGAATAAAGGTAATGATGTCAAAAAGTATTTTGTAAAGAAGTTTAACTTGTATTGAAATGACAGATGTTAATTATACAAATAAAAGTTTATTATTCATATTAAAACTTGTTTCAGCTTTCCTGTGCCTCTACATTTATTGAGCAACAGTAATCAATAGTGCAGCACCCTGAAACACACTAATTGCATGCAGGCCAATGGTAAAGGAAAGTTACAAGCACGCTTCACCCCCTCCCAAACCTCATTAATGAATCAACCTAATTTGACAACCCAAGTAATCAAATGACTACCAAGGGTAATCATCAGGTTGGATATGATGATCCTGCAAGGTCAGCAAATACACAGTTTGGCTACCTGGGTCATTGTTTCAGGTATACTCATGTGATGATCCCAAGGTAGTCAATTTGATGACCCTATGCTTTCAGTGTACCAGTTGCTGTCCCATCAGTTGAACTTTTTTAGCGATACACGGTTACAAAACTCCACTGTAGAGACCTTCCGTTGTTTGTATCCCCTACACAGTTTCATCTGAAATTCTCCACGTCTCGTCTTCAATCTCTTTCACCAAAAAAATTGCAGGGTCAGTGTGATCAGGAATAGTACGTACTGCCTAGTAGTGGAGGATCAATAGACATGTAGGCCTACTAATAGGAATGCCCCTTTTGCAACCTGCGAGGTAAGTTTGAGCAAGGAGTTATAACTCCTTGTTATAACTCCTTGGTTTGAGTGGCTGTGAATTTTCATGGACATAATAGGGAAAATATGGGTTTATTGTAAATAATTTTTTTGGACACGAGTGTACAGAGGTGAGCTTTTCCGACTATCGAAGGATTTCCGGCTTTTGGCTATGACACTTTATTCGTACGCAAAATATTTAGGTTGAAAAGAAATATATGTTATACACGTATGAAATGTACTGATAGAGTGACTTTTCTTTTCTCTACCAAATATCTAATCGAGGATATCAAATCTCCCAAAGTTGGTTATCCCTGTGAAGACCTCGAGCTCGTTAAGTAAATATACATTTTTATTTACAAAAAAATCAGATTAAAGATTGGAGATGAGGCTCATAGAGCCAGCTATATAATCAATTCCCTTTGATATAGATAGAGTTACTTGGTTATCAGATAATATATATTTTGCCAATTTAGTCATTTTTTTTTTTTTTTTTGGTAACATCCTGGGTTATTCTAAAATACTATTCACGTACCATGTTATTGATTTTCTAGATACAAATTACAATGAAATCGACAAAGGTTGGCTGCGTTTTTAAGTTAAACATTTCTTTACGCTTACAGACAATTTCATTTTTTGCAAGTAATAAAGATTATTTACATGTGGTTATTGAATGACTCATGATCAACGTTTCCTACCACTTAAATGCAACAGTTACTTATTAATTCTGTGTTAATATCGTGGTACATGTAGGCCTACTTTTTATTTGAATATTTTTGGCTCCCAAATGACACACGCACTCTCGGTGTCGAATACAATTTTTCTGGTAGTTTCCCCAAAAGTAATCACTTTTAGTTAATTTTAATACATTTCCACATAAACACCATCTCACACGATTTTAGTTAAAATTGACACACTGTGGCTAGAGATCATTTACGTTGATTTAAGTGCAAAAATAGGCCCACATATTTTTTGATGCTACGTGACTCAAACCTCGTCTTCTCAGGGTTATCGAAAGACGCAGTGCTATTTACCCTCGTGACCGAGGTTTATAGTGGTGCTTTATATAGATGATAATGGTGACTACCAGCATCAAATATGAAAGAACAGTGACTATTTTACCCCCGAAAAGTTTCATCAATACCTCCAGGGGGTTGTTCGGGTCACTGTTCTTTTGGTTTGTTTTTATGTATTTAGATGCGCAGACGACTTTATTTTTTTAACTTTTAAATTATATATATATATATATATATATATATATATATATATATATATATATATATATATATATATATATGAAAAACGTCTCTCTTTCTCACGTACGCACGCACACTTGTACATGTACACACACATTTCTGAAATATACCTTGTTATTCATCATAGTTCAGATAGTTCAAGAGATGTACTAGTACACGCACTTTACTCTTTACTCTGTGCTTAATCAGAGCGTTGGACTTCATATTTTGATAATGCAACAATTGGGCAAAACTCAACTAACTCTGCTTACGTAATGAAATCTCATATTTATAAGACCTTTTTCAATGGTTAGACAATATTGGCCGGCAGGTGTGTGTGGAGGGGGGGGGGAAGGGGGGATAAGAAGCATCCCTCTTATTTAGCTTCCCTTTTTTTATCCCTTAATAGATATTCCTCACGTTTTCCGTCATCTTATTCAACTGTACCTTGCCCCTCCCCCCTTTAATCGCTTAAGTTTGCATATATTTCTGTTGCAGATTTTGAGCGACTATGTGCTCCATGTGTGAGTGTGAATGCCTTTTGAACAGTGGTATAACACAATTCTTTCTGGCTTTCAGTGGATAATGGCATGTACAATTTTGCCTTTTTTAAATTTTAATTATGACTAATTTTTTTAAACCGTTTATTTTTCTCATTTATTCAATTTTCCTTTTGTATATATTTATTTCATTCATGCATTCTTGCACGCTAACGTTTATTCTATATCCGTTTTTCTACTTGGTAACAGTGACGCCGATTTTCTGCATCATTTTGTGTCTTCCTCTCCCCCTCCCCCCCTCACCCTCCCTCTCACCTTGCGTACATTCACATATTAGTTATGTGCCTCCTATCTGACCCTGGGAGTGAAATATTTTTCTCTTCATCATAAAACGATCTTAAATCCATTAAGAAAGGCAGATTTTCGGGAAATGCTGTCACTACCAATTGGCTATGACCCGCTTACGTATAATAATATAGGGGGGGTTCACGTCTTACCTAAAAGTCTGAAAGGTGCACAGCGGTGGCGTATTGAAGGCCTGTGACTGAGCATATTCAATAGGCCGTGCTTACGTCGAAGAAAAACTGGGACATCTATTGTAGTGTCCCAACGTTAGTTGTTGAACGTTTTACATATTGATCTTTAAGAGCCTGCTGTGTGGGAGGACGTTGAGGCACATGAAGCTAGGCACATGATCGCGTCAGCTGATTTCTTATAATAAAAGAAACGTTGGAAATACCGTTGGGTAGGGCAAAAGAGAACTTTTACAGTTGCTTGACGGGCTACGTTGGAGAAACACTGAAATCAGTATCAGGGGTTAGCTGCACACACAGCGCTAATAGAAGCCTGAGGAATATAGTAAACAATGCCGCAGTAATAATGGTAGGTTGAGACTGACTTGTTATTTACCTTGTGTAGAATTTTCCCCAGGATGACTATTTTGCCGATACGGCTGGACCCTGAGAAGTGACGCGGACCTCCCTACAAGGGGTGGTTTTCCCTGTCACTACTTATGCTCCCAGAATGGCACCGGACCTGGTCAGTCTGTCGAGTGGTCAGTTAACTTAACCAATATATATTTGTATGATGTTACAAGCGGGAAGAGGGGTTCGTGTGCCAAAGGTGGTGAAACAGACTGGGCTTACATAACGGCTACATTGACAACTTTGTAAGCATTATTTAGGCGTGTGCGAAAAGCTTACAGTACTTCTATAAACTTCTTCCAAAGTTTGCGAGGTTTAACCTGGTAGTTAGTGTACATCTTACGGTACTGGCTGCAGCAGAATCTGATAGTAAAAGAAGCAAAGTAACATTTTAATATATTGATTTAACGTGTACATGTAGGAACCCAGGCTAGACTGTCGACTTCAGGTAATCGCTTGATTGAAATATTATCAGCAAGTTTTCTTTTTGTAACATGAGCGTGAGGTAGCAATCATAGAATATTGCGGAGTCAGTGTATTGAAGAAGTATCTTAGCAGAGAAATAAACCAGGATGTAAGTGTTGATAAAAAGCCGTTTATTTCAGCCCTATGTATTTAGAGCGGTCACGAGACATCGATAACAGGAGTCCTAGAGTAAAAGCCTTGTGCTGGAAATATGAATGAGGCGGGGGGTAGTCAGACAGTCAGGTGGACAGCATCAGATAGAGAGAGCGTAAGAAAGACTGACGGACAGTCGGAGAGAGAGAGAGAGAGAAGAAGAAGAAGAAGAGAAAAAGAGAGGTCATAAGAGAGACTGACGGACAGCCAGAGAGAGAGAGAGAAGGAAGAGAGAAAGTGGATAAAAAAGACAGGCGGACAGACAGACAAATAGCGAACTAGCAACGGTAGCAAACAGACAGTCAGTCTGACGGAGAGAGACCGCCGATCCATCTAGTTAAAAACTGCGTGTTTTCCAATTCTATTTTAAGTCTTATCAGATCTAATTCGAAGTGTGCTTCTTGGTACCGTGCATTAACCATTAAATGTTATCACGCGCCTGATTATTATGCGTTTCCACTTCAATAAATAGCATTTGTATGAGGTCATTTGACTTCGTCAAAAGTTTGTTGTGATGAAAGTAAATGAGAAAATAGCGTTTAGATTGTAATTAAGGTGAAGAGATGAACACTCATCTTCAGAAAGCGAAATGTACATGTAATGCATGTATATGTTCAAAATCAGATTTGCTTTCCATACATTATTTTATTCAAGGCAGACAAAGAAATAAACTTTGTTCCTACTAGCATATTCTGGTATTTTCATTTCAGTCTTCCAGGTCTTCTTGTCTATAACAACTTCTTAACCACCAGAAGGGTCTTTTGTAGAGAGTATCTGCTATATCCACACAGACACATACACACACACACACACACACACACACACACATATATATCGTTAATTGTAAACATTTATTGTCTTAACAAATTAATTAAATACTACTTTGGCGCGGCGATAATTTTACTTTTTCTCGAAAGAGACACAGAGTGCCCAAGGTTAATAATAACCCTTGAATCGGTTAACTTACGTGACAATAGTAGATAAACTTAAAGCTTTTCAGATAGAGCGTTATCATAAGTGTTAGCACGCGTTAGAATCCGCATCACAAGACCATAATAAATGCTATTGTTCTTCCTCAGGTAATCATTTAGTCGGAAAAAGAACCTTTGGGATTTTCCAAATCAATTAGGTGTGGCAAATAAAAGTGAAGAAGCGTCAACTGTACAAGCAGACTCTTACTTCGACCATGGCAACAAATGATGTCGATCCTGGTGGTCCTGGGGCTGGGCATGACCAGCCGGACATCGGCTATCGGCAGCGAGGTTTTGATGATTCGATGGACGATTTATATGGCACCTCACTCACTGTGGCAAAAGAGTGGAAAGTAGGAGCCGAAATAAATGAGCAGAAAAAATCAACTAAAAAACCATCAAAAGGTGTAACAGTTTTCAAATGGCTGGCCACACTGCTGATGTTCTGTTTACTCCTAGCGGCATTAGTGGCTAGTAAATTGTCTGCGCTTTACATAGCGCAAGGACTAAATAAAACCGAACCCCAAAATGACGTTGAAAAGAACTCTGCTGCATTTGAGATGGTAATTATAACAACTATGTGCCCATATCTGGTCACTTTGATTGTTTCCTTGTGGGTCGGCTCATTCCGGAGTGATATGCCATGGCCGTCCCGGACAGCCCTATTCTTGGTAAGTTTAGCATGGGAAGGGAACTGAGAGTGTGTTAGGTATGACAGCATATGGAATGTGATAATTAAAATGTGAAATATGTTAATTGTGATGACTTTTGCAGTTTTGCGAAGATATTTGATTGGAACTAAGTGTGAAAACGGGTTTATTTTGATGAGATGTGAAAGTGCGTTAGGTGTTAAGACAGATTTTTTCCTGACGAAGCATTGTATGTAGTACTTGATATTTATCATATTGTAAAAATGATAAATGCGATGATGTGTGACAATCACTATGTTTTTAACACAATGGTTAAGCCTTAACTCTTACCAGTGCCACCCAGTACCTGGCTTTTTAACACTTTTTCTTATTAAGGAGCTTTCTTTTATGTCCACTTGTCAATGTGCCTTCAACCTCGTCCCCCATGAAAATGGTCGTATTTTTTTAAAAATGTACCTTTGCATTGTGTTATGTGACAATTGGCTTGTCTTTATATAATATATACTTTAACAATCATGTATCACATTAACCTACTGTTGGAAAGATGAAAACCTTTTTCATTCACAGGGATTATTGGCAAGCAGTTTCGAAGTTTGTGGCATCCTGATACTTACACTGGCTGTCCTACGACAAGTCAATCCAGTAGTGGCAATATTACTGTTGAACAGCGTATACCTGGCGCCCAGCGTGGTTGGCTTTTTCAGCAGCTGCCGGCAACAACAAGGGAGGGTCTCACACAGAGTGGCTTTTGCACTGGGCATGTTGTGTACGGTGGCAGGTCTTGTGATGTCTGTATATTGTGCTGTGACGGAACGAGGTACGAATATGACTTGGGAGATTCTCTTGCCAGTATTTTTGTTATCTGTCGCATGGTCTCCAGCTATGCAGAAAATTCAACTTTACAACAAAGGAGGCGCAGAGAGCTTCAGGAAGGCTCTTGGAAACACGTACAGCGCCACTCACACAAGAGTAGGGGTTAACGGAACGATGAGCGGTGCGACAGACCAGCAAACAGACACTAGCGGGTATTCATCGTCTCGAAATGGAGGGCCCAATAGCAGTAGTAATAATATGCATAACGCAGGGGCTGCCAGTCAAAGGGCAGACGACAGTTCGTATATTAGTTGGCTACGCACGTTGCCGTTAGATGATCTAATTGATCTTGACCCTTACAAAAGTGCCAGGTGGAAGAATAATATATTGACTAGTCTATGGAAGCTTGTTTTAACTCCATTTGCGGCAATCGCCTTTGCTAAAGCGTTTGACATTGGCTATGATTTCGAGAATTTCGAGTCATTTTTTGAGTATTGGTCGGATGGACTTCTCTATGCTTTTATCATCAACGTATGTACGAGCTTAGCAGGCTATTTGTTTTCTCTGTTTACTTGTATGATGTGTATGCAGATTGTTTTCGTTTTACCATTAATATTAAGCACACCTGCCGCCGTCGGGACTTTATTTTTGCCATTTATTGATGGTCTTTTTCATCCAGAAAAGACCATAGAATACCCTCCAATTCTTTTAATAATTGCTGGTGTAGCTTTCTTTTTTGGACAGTTCTTCACAGTAGGCGTCTTCCTCTTCAAAAAACAGACAGTTGTTATGGAGAAAGAGTCATTTGTAAGTACAAACGTATCAAACACAGCACATGATATATCTTTTTCCTTCTTCTAAAAAAATGCCAAACAGTAAGACCTGGACATTCAGACTAACCTAACGGATTGTTTATTTCTACCATACTTAAAACTGTGACAAGTTTTGTAATTTATTTATTTATTTATTTATTTATTTATTTATTTATTTATTTACTCTTTCTTCCTTTTTTTCTCTTGGTGTAACACCCAATGTGAAGTAAGTACTTCAATGTTTTCAGTTATTCTGGCAACCCGGCTATAATGGTTATCTTTTGGACCAATGGCTGTCACTGTCTCGTAAGACTAAGCAAATCATGCATCGGTTTGAGGAGCCAATAGAAAGAGGGAAGAGAACCAGGGTGTATATTTGCACTACCATGTATAGAGAGGTACGATATTATATGCCATATTTTGGATTCTAATCCGTGCAGATCGACAAAAGGTTTACACGAGATGCCACCTGGAAAAAAATTTAGACATATATGACACTGTTTAAAGAATAATTTTGCCATCATTTATTATACCTAATTTTAAAAAGACTTAAAAGCCAACGACATAAAAATTCACTTATATTATATTATATTATATTATATTATATTATATTATATTATATTATATTATATTATTATGAATGTCAGTGTCGGATTTAGGGGGGTGTCAGGGGGGCCTGACCCCCCCTCCCCCCTTTGATTTCTGATAACAAAACGCACAAAAAAAAAACATCTAGCTAAAACATTATTCTAAACCGTGCCAAATGGCGCCATTTTCCCTCCAAAACACCAATTTTTTCGGGGCCCTCGAGCGTACCCCGAACCTGACGGCAAGGGGGTGAGGATCGGCCTCGCAATCCGAGGCCTGTCAATCCCAGACCTCCCCCCCTCCCCTTCAAAAAATTCTGGATCCGACCCTGAATGTGCAGTTATTTCTTATGCAAAACTGCTGCTATTTTATCAACAGTTAAGTGATTTATTAAAACCTATATTTACAGAGTGCCACTGAGATGCAGCAGCTTCTGCAGTCTCTGGGAGGCATCAACAGAGCCCAGGCCGGTCTAGATAAACACTTTTCAGCACATATTTTCTTTGATGGCGCTGTTCGTGACAAGAAAGCATCAGACTTTCTACTCATATTGGTGTCTTTAGTGGAAGAAACGCTCAGTAAGTACTGCTAATAAATTAGCGGCAATCTGAATTTTAGTATTTTTACCATATTTTTATAACTAAGATTTTAGTTTCACTGATTTTTATGTGGTAAATAGAAAACCCGTGTATAGTTTACCGACCATATAGATTAACAGAGAGGTCATTTTGCCCTTTTAATGCTTAGTCCTTTTAAGTAGGGGAAATGAGACGGGGGGTTCAAAGGATTCTAAAGAACCATCCTTTTGGCTGGAAAAGTTCCAAAAGTTAAACATTTAATCTAAGTTCTATGTAATGTCTACAGTAGGATCAAGTAAAAAGGTAAAAAGGCCCCCTATTTACAAAAAAATACCTGCTATCCCCCCCCCCCTTTTCAAAAGTATGATTACACCGATTATATTATTTGTTCTTTTCGGTTGCATGATTTTTAAAGTATTTTTATGAACCTGTTGCTAATTTTGTAGAAGAGCAAGCTGTTACGTCGCACATAATAACATATTAACACAATAACACTTGCACCTTTCCTCTTCTACAGATGTGAAGACTATTGACGCCACCCGTGTTTCTACGCCTTATGGAATGAGTTTGTCTTGGCAGCTACCAGCGCCACCTGGATTGCGTGGAATGACCCTCACTATCCATTTGAAGGATAATTTCAAGGTGAACACAGTAACAGTCTATATAGTATTGATGTTTTAAAAAGATCTGATACAATGAAATATTTGATAGGCAATATGTGACAAATAGTTGTCCATAAATAGATAACAATCAAACGCCGTAGTAATGAGAAAAATTAAATCTAAATAACTGGATGAATCAAAATATTCACTTAGAAATCAAGCACCTTGTTTGTGTTACCATTTACGCGCCTGTTGTAAATTTATTTAAATTAATAATACACAGTGTCTCATCCATCTCTATTAAATTAGGTTAAGAATAAGAAACGCTGGAGTCAAGTGATGTACATGTCCTATGTGTTGGATTTCCTAATGAAAGCTCATTCAGATGGTAGGTATCGTTTTACATCTGCGTATTCACCGAAAGATGGCATCAGCTGCAACTGTGCATTTTCACATTTCCTATATAGTAGCACCCAGCACGGTGGCAAAAACTCACGTTGGCGCATTTCGTCACAACTGCATATCCATCACAATGACATATACATGTATATACACAGTTGTTTACAAGGCACACCTAGCAGCACGTTCACTGTTAAGTTAATGGATATGTTTATGTTGAACAGGCAGAAATCAGAATAAGTCGACAGCAGTCAATTTTTTATAGGGCAGCCTATCGGCCTTAAAATTTAATCCATTCATGTTTAACATAAATGAATATCAATGGTAAATACAGTTAAACCCATACTGCAATTTTTTCTAGCCACTGACCAAGACACGTTCATTCTTACCACCGATGCTGATGTTAAGTTTTCTCCGGAGTCTGTGGAATCCCTTATGGACAATATGATACGCGACAACACAGTGGGTGCTGTGTGCGCGCGCACTCACCCCATGGGCTCTGGACCCGTTGTATGGTACCAAATATTTGACTACGCCATAGGGCACTGGTTTCAGAAAGTAAGTATTATTAAATGTCCAATTTAATATAAATACAATATTGGAATTGACCAGGTTATACTGTACTTTGGGTTTTAGTTATGGCTTTCAAACAAAAAAGGCAACTGTTATGAATATTTGCTGCAGCAGACGAAAAAAGTAGCAGGTTATTTATGTCTTGCACAATTTCACTGAAATTAAAAGTCGTGTCTGTAGTCTTTAGAAATGTTTTACCATATGTTAGTATGTGTGTATATACTTTAATGCTGTTGCTTTGGTATTTTTTTCCGTCAAAATGATGTGTTACTATACAGGCCGTAGGAAAGGCAATTGCTGAAGGCGTAATTTAGTGTATGTGCAATACAGGCATACATGTACATATGTCATACATGTAGCCTATACTACATGTACCCTATACTACATGTAGCCTACGCTGAAGGAAAATCCAGCTATTTCAAATGGAATAGGTGAAAAGAAAAACCAAAACTTTATAAAGACACCTTCACTTGGGTACGATGAAATGTTTTAATTGCTTAAATGAAGGCTACGTAAAAAAACATGACGTAAAGGTACACATCTCTTTACAAAATACGGTCAAAAGACAAAATCGTGTCTCTTGGACATCTCCGTTTCTATTATCATTTCCAGGCCGCCAATGACGTCCTTGGGTCAGTGCTGTGCTGCCCAGGCTGCTTCAGTGTATACAGGGTGGCTGCACTGCGAGACGTCTTACCTCTCTACGCCTCTAAAGTGACCAAGGCCGAAGAGTTCTTGACCAAGGACATGGGAGAAGACAGGTGGTTGTGTACTCTCATGGTAAGTGATAAATGTAAAGCGCGCCTTTAGTAGAATACCGTTTTTAAAATGACGCCTTCTGGTTGAGAACTGGAGAAATGAGAAGCATGCGGTTGTTGGCACCTCATAAAATGTTTTTAGGGTCTGTTTGTATCATACGAAGGCATGTGACAAAACTGAATGACAAATGGCTAATGTAGAAAATAGCTGGTTTGTTACTTGATATATAAGAATAGCTTGTATCAAGTCTGCAGCCAGGTGTTAAAAACGATCAGTCAAACTACCCTTTACTAAGGGGTGTCCAGATTAAATCCCTCCGGCCAGTTTTATCAGTACTTTAAACCGTAAAATGTCTTACTTGACGAAAGTCCAAACTCCCTTTGTTGGCCAGTGTGTATGCTTTTACTCAGACAGAGCGATTGTTCACCCAGAAACCTTTCCCTAGGTGCAAGCTGGCTGGCGTCTAGAATACTCTGCCGCTGCTCACGATGAAACCTTCTGTCCTGAAGAGTTTGACGAGTTTTTCAAGCAGAGAAGACGCTGGATTCCCTCAACTCTGGCCAATCAGTTCCTCATTATGAAGGAGTGGGTTTATATCAGCAAGTTCAACAATCACATCCGCATGTTCTTTGCTCTCTACCAGGCTTTTCTGATCGTTTCAACTCTGCTAGGACCAGGGACAGTTATAATGATCATAGCAGGTAAAACGTTTGTCATTGTATATTTGAATGGTTAAATAAAGAAGTCGGGAAAGGAAGACATAAAATCTACATTATGGGCGACAGGTGACGAAAAAGAAATATGTATCATGTTTTTGCATGCCAACTTCTGGTTCTTCACTGTAACATTTACTGAATCCCAATCCATTGTAAACACAATGATGTATTCACTGGATAATATGTAGATACAAAACAGGCCTACATAATTTGTGACATTGATACATTTATATTTTAGGCGGGCTGAACTACTCTTTATGTGTCTCAACAACTGCAATGACAATCCTACTGTTGATTATCACTATGGGTTACGCCGCAATCTGCCTTACCACTTCACAAGATACACAACTAATGGTCAGTATCAACAAAAAGTCCTGCGCTCTGTCATATTCATTACTCTATGTTACATATTAAGTTGAACGGAATATAATAATATTTGTCGGATATTGACTAGGCCTCGCCTATTTTTAGTGTTTTTTATTTTCATTTCGGGCTCATGATGTCGGAAAAATTATCTATCTATCTATCTATCTATCTATCTATCTATCTATTGTGTTCTGGTTGCCAAGGTGAGATAGTTTTATTGTATTCTACAGGTTGCCAAGGTGAGATAGTTTTATTGTATTCTACAGGTTGCCAAAGTGATGACATTTGTGTTTGCACTGGTAATGGCCGCAGTCACCGTGGGGACAGCAGTGCAGATAGGAGAGGACATTGGACGCTCTTTCAACTTGACTGGCAATACCTCTGACTACAGTAAGTGTATGGTGTTTTCCTTAAAATCTTATACCGGTATAATGCAGTTTTCTATACGTACCATTCTCAGGGTTCCAGCAAGCTAAACGGCTAGAGGCTTTACGGATAGATAGATAGATAGATAGATAGATAGATAGATAGAAAATGTTGCATAATATACAAGAAAGGCAACAGTAACGTCTTCTTAACCAAAATTTAATTGAAAGTACAGTACTTTTTGTAAGCTTTGGAAATGTATTAGAACAAGACTAATAAGTCTAAGAGACAGAATTACGATATTATTTACTGCAGGATTAATATTTGGAATTTAAGTTGAAACGTTCCTGATATTTTTACGTGTGGGTATTTCATTATTTCAGAACATTGTGATGAACCCTTACCAGAACTGGAGCATGGTGGGTTGCCTTTGTCTACAACATCATTGTACTTCATGGGTAGGTTATACAGATGATCATCGGGCATTGACCCATTTACTCTAAACAATGTCACGCTAAACGCATCGCATCTTATTCATCACACGTCAATGTTACAAAGTATTAATTCTGCAGAATGTCATGCAACACAATTTCCAAATTATACACTGTCATACACACACATTTATTGAGTGTTGTAGTGTCAAAATCCCAAATGATAACCATACATTGTACATCATAGTGATATGTCACTCAGTATCCACTCTGCAGGAGGTCACGATCTGTAATTTACACTCTCATCACTCCTATCACAATGTATGTGCATTAATTTTCTTAATAACTGTAGGTATAGTCGGGATCTTCCTAGTGGCAGGATTAATGCACCTCACCGAGTCCTATGCTCTGCTGCATGGCGTATGGTATCTTCTGTGTCTACCATCCGGGTATCTCCTTCTGATGATCTACAGTATTTGTAATATTACAGACAGGTCATGGGGTAGGAGGAAACTTAATTTATAGCTTTTGTTTCTCTTTATGATAAGTCTTTTGCCAGTTCAGATCTACAAATCCACTGAATTATCCAGGGTGGGCGATTTTTTAATTCGATTTTTTAATTCTTCTAAATTTACCCATGATACGCACATATTATAAAACAAAATAAATAAATAGATGAATATGTATTTTGCAATAGACAGATGCTATAATAAATGAAAAAAGTAAAAGCACATTATTTTCTCCTTTGTATGTCACAATATCAGTTTTAATTGAAATCAAAATCGAAATGTTATTATAGCCTGTAAAAACTTGACAAGGCATTAATTTTATAAGCGATTCCTTGATTTAAGGTACTCGAGAGGAAAAAAAGGAGAGCACCAAGGTTATAAAGAGCCACAAGACGTGGAAGGACAGGGCAATACAAATCTATAAGGGTTTCCTATGTTGGTATGTCATATAAATATAGATATATATTTTAAAAACTGTCCATCAGAACAGTGGCATCGATTCACATCGGCAATAGAGATTAATATCGTGCATATATTGAGTGAACAGGATTTAAAATGGACCGATATTGTTGAATATCGTAGTTTTTATTATTGACTAAGAAACACTTTATGCATCATCAAACGAAGGAAAGCAGATATCAGAACAAAAGGTATGTAAAAAACACACTTAGGCGCCATCACAACAAGCTGGAATTAGACAAAAAAATAATGCTTAACATCTTCTTTCTTTCAGTTGCTTCTATCCACAACGGGACAGTGTTACAAGAAAAGAGATGGTGGACGCGGAAGTTCAGACGACGACTTACTTGCAGCAGCAAATGTCACAAGAAGCGTTTTCTAGTTTGGCATCCATTGACGAAACGAGGTCATCCACATATATGTATACGTCGTATACGGAGCAGGTGACATTACTGGTTGTATACGCATAAGAATGTAGTTCATTAATGGATGAAAATGTAAAGTAAATGTATTTCAAAAAAGAAAATATTCAAAGTCCCCCCCCCCCCCCCATCAACACCCATCTGCATGCGATACATTTTCATTAATTTTTCCTGAATGACCTGAAACATGTTTGATATCAATGAGGATATTATTTTGGATCTGTTAAGACAAAGGTTTTTGCATTGAAATAGAACAAGTTTTGCCATTTATTTACATCCATAAGTGTAGCTTCTTTATGCAATCATTTTATTTACATTTCTAGGGAAGTGGAGGGCAAGGAAGAACGGAGGAAGAGGAGTTATACAGACAGAGTCTTAGAAGTAAAGCAATATCACACGATATAAGAATTGATCCGTGAACATTTCATAAGGTTTTGGTTACAAAAAATGATGTATTTGTGAAAGCTTTAAAGGTGAAATTAGGAAGTTAAAATAACAAACAAATATCCCGGTAAATAAAATGACGCCCAAGTAAGTGTGTTAACTTCAATTACAAAAAGTGATAGGGTTCTATATATATTACTTAATTTACTTGTGTAGGAACAGGTTGCATTTAATTTGTACATTGGGGTAAGGGGCAGGGCCCTGGCATTTTTATGTACAGACACAGATGTGTCTGTACATATTGCCATCANAATAGATCTGGCGGTGTGGCAGGAATGGTAGTCCTAGGAGTGGAAGTCCTGGGTCCCATATGATTAGCACATATAAGGGTTAGTTGGAAAATTGGGTTAGTACGTATATGTGACAGATGTCACCTGTACAAAAAAAAAGGGGGGACACGGACTACGCTTACTAGTGGACTACCATTCCTGTCACACACCGGTATAGCATTTAACACACTGATCCTGAGCAGATACGCGCCCAAATGTTGTCTACTGACATGCGACAATGCCACCCTGAGCTTCAGAGATAACTTGACACTAACCTCTTCACTATAGCCTATCTTCATCGTTTCAAGTTATCTCTGAAGCTCAGGGTGGACAATGCAAACAGAGGTGACCTTTTGCTACGCATGACTGACAGCTGAATACTTTATTTGGGGCTTAACGAACATTTATAACCTGTCAAACTTTCGCCTGGATGGATAGAAGAATAACAAAGCAACAAATCGCCCGCATTTGTGTGATGACAGTTTACTGTTCCATATTTCAGGTCACTTGAAATTCCTCCTTAAAGCTATCAAAAAACTAAGGTGGCCGACTGAAGGTAAGGATATCAAAAACTTCGTGTAGAATCTCCTCACCCAAATATAAGGTTCATGTAGATTATAAATATCATTGCTTGATATAATATAATATAATATAATATAATATAATATAATATAATATAAAGCTATCACTAAGTAACTAATCAATTGAATTTTTCCTTTGTCAGAAAACACCATTGTCCGTCTGACAAAGAAATGCTGCTTGTCATATTTTAATTGTCGTCATTTTGTAACCCCCAGACACATATACCCAGCTTGTGGCGCTTGGAACTATTTTTTGAATATCACTATTACTGTATATGAATGTTGCTTTTTTTTTATTTCATTAGAGGAGTTGCGTATTCAAGATGCTCGCTTGCAGTTTGATAACATCAACTTATTTGACATGCGCGCTATCAACAAAGCGGAACACGATTTTTGGTGCAGTCTCAGGAAAAGGTGTCTCTTACCCGAGTCCAAGATTTTTGGGACAGAGGATGAATTAAAAGGTAAAGTCGGTAATATATTATCGTCGAGATACCTACACATGGGTAACGGCGCTGGAAACACATCTGTTGTGCGAACAGGGAGAAGACACCACCACGCTCGGCGTGGACACCACATACACGATGACACACCTAACACCGCCATTTCGGTATTTAATAGTATAGTGCTGAACTCTGTACATGCATAAAATAGTCCTATCCAAAATGCATAGAAAATTCAGCGCGGAACGGCATGTCTTCTTAATATATATATATATATATATATATATATATATATACATATATATATATATATATATATATATTATCCTAATGGCCCCACATTAAAATTTTCCAGACATTCACAATAAAAACATTTTAATAGCGGATAAAAGTATCAGACTTAAATTGAAATTCTTTTTTTTAGCCAAACTCGTTGATCTGAGGAACGGGTACCTCATGATATTTGCTGTAGTCAATAGTTTGTGGCTGATCTTCATCATGCTGCTGACCAATCAAAAGGTTTTGTTTTTACTCGGATCAAATCCTTTAGGTAAGATTTAAAAGTAGGGTATTAGACAGCGGCTAATTTCAATTAAACATCTAGTAAAGCCCCCTTTACACTGGACGGCGTCCCTTCTGCGTCCAGCAGTTCGGCCCCATTTCAGAGTTAAAGAATTATAATACTAACGTGCCGACAACTGGCCGATCATTGAGCATTCATTCTGATACCAAATCAATGCTCGTGCCTCCTTATTAAGACCACAGCGATGCCAAATTTCATGGTCGCAGAAAGGACGCCGTCCAGTGTAAAGGGGGTATAAGACACAGTTAATGATACATATAAAGTTAGTTGCGGGCAATCCTGTTGTCTGTCGTTGATGTTAATTCTTCTTGATCTGAAACTAAGCAGCTTTTTAATTCAGGTTCCAGTCGGATAAAACTATATTATTCCATGGTATATTTCAGGCTTAGCCTTTCTGTTCGTTTTCGGCTTCGTTCTGATTATTCAGTTCCTGGCAATGATTGTACATCGGTTTGCTGCGTGGATGCACATGATTGCGCGTGCCCCGTACAAGTTCGGGCAGCCCTATCACACAAACTGGGCGTTCAATCCCCAAGAGGAGGATTTCATCGACCGTCGAATCGCACAGGAGGGCCAAGAACGGGCTCGGCGAAGGACCGAACACAATGTAGAAGTACGTGTCAGGAAAAAGCAGGTACGAAAGCTACCTGTCTCTGAAGTGGAAACTAGCTTCAAAGCTGGCGACAACCCAGACATCAATACGCCATTGTTGAGGGAATCACGGAAAAGCACTTCTTACGTGACATAAAGGCCTTTCTTTAGCTTCCAAATCCTGGCCACTCGAAATATTTTACCAATATACACCATGACTACATGGAATTGAATATTGTCGTGTATGTGATTTCAGGCCATGGCACAGAGTATTTATATACTGTATAGCGGGTCACCATCTTTTATACATGTTTCACAATTTTACAATTGATAAAGCGAAGTCATACACTGCAACTGTAATATTTTTCTTATCTTTATTTACTCTGAAATTCTTTTATGTCATTTATTTCTTTTATTGTCATTGAATATATTATTATAATTGTACATAAACTACATTCTTTCCTTTATCATTTTTCTACATAGTGATCCTAATCACTAATTCTAATTTTTAAAGGTAATAATAGTATGCTTTTGTTCTCACCAATTTACTTGAATAACGCCATTTTTATAAGATGTGCCAATTGATATATTTTGCTTATATTTTTGCTGAAATGACATTTAATATGCTAGATTATTAATATTGAACAACAAGGAAATGAACTTAGAGTTAAACTGTTGGAATTTTCTGCAATAAAACACTAAATCTTACGTAATTTCACTGCCATTTAAAAAGAAATGTATTTTATACTTTTGGGTGATGGCGATGTCAGGTCAGCTGTGGGATAGAATAAAATGGTTACGTAACTCTGTGATTACCCATTGTGGTTAGCGGAGGTGGGGAGGGGGAGTCACAACCTGAAATTAAGGTTCCCTTTTTAACATTTATTTTTAATATTGTTATTGTAATTCTAAATTATTGAGTACACTGAAGCCATAACTTGTTAGTGAATCGTATTGTATTAATAATGTTATGAACTCTTTTTCAAATGCTGGCATTAATATTATGTTATTTCGATCTTATTTCCAAATTAGAGTATACAGCATAGAGTGATAGAAGCGGTTAAACCTGTGCGTATAATTCCATGTTCAGAAATAAATTTCATGTTATCTTACACAAGTTTTCATGAAAACCTTTACTGTTATCAAAACAGATCAGACTGTCAACTTTACTGATACCTACTTTACAAAGGTATTTTAGTAGGAAATGGGACTTTTTAAAGTATGTTTCAGTCATAGGCCTATCAACAGAAATGGAAATTATTTGGTATTTCATCTAACAGTCAAATATGTTTACTCTGCAATCCAAGGCAACGACCCAAAATACTATTTCACCATGTTTAACTGTTAGTGGTAATGTACGAAATACATAGGCCTACATGTATATGTAGCCTACACCGAAAATGGGTGGACGTTATATCATATTAATAAATATTAACATTTCCATAACAACTAATTCTCTTATTATTCATTTATAAATTATTGTAAACATTTTAATAGTTAAATCATTTGTTAACACCAAGTGAACAATGTGGTATTGTGTTTTTTTAGCGTACTAGTGGTTGAAAAGAACCGTTGGCCTATAATTTATACTGAAAGCATATCAATGAAGCAAATAAGTGTGATATACAGTATATAATTTTACCAGACTTCATCAAGATTTGATATACCTTTACTAATGTCACTTGCGTCTTGAGTTTCTTGTTCGGTTCAATTAGTCACGGGACCCATGACCAAGAACTTACACTTTTTCTTGTTTTACTCAGTAGTGCATTGATGTATTACAGACCATTCCCAGACCCTATCGTACTAACTTTGGATCGAACTATCTCCGAAGGGATTCTCGCTTAATTACAATTAACTTGGGCGGCTTAGGTGTCTGTCATGCCTGTTGCAACTGATGGGCGGGTAATTAACTATAGCAGCTTTAGCAGCTTTGGTGGGGGTCCCGGACGTCTAAGCCGCTTGGGCTGAAGCAACTTAAGCGTGGGACCCCGTGGAGATGGGCCTATACTGTTAGATCGATCTAGGGATGGGAACCCAGTCTTAATGTGCAGTGTACAACAAGGGCAGCTGTCCAAAATGGATAACGTGATCACGTTTGATAGGCTGGATGGTTTTTTGTAATCAAATGCAACGCTGTCGTTGTGAATAGGTACAAATAACAAATACAATAAAACACAATAGCACTCAATTAACGTCAAAAATTAAATACATTGTAAGAAATTCTAATAATAGGACCTATACCAGTAAATACATCAATACAATAGGGACCCATAATACAATGACCGTTAAAATATGGTCAGATGCAACAAATTCCGATTATTCCTTAATTTAAAAACATGTTGCGACGTAATGACTCACATTTAGCAAGGGATTTATGTCAATTGTTGTAAATAAAATTTCTCATGATCGTTTATGTAGCAAACGTGGAGATAGGCGTGCCTTTTTATTTTATATAGGCCTGCTACGTATATAAATGTGACCTCCCACATGTATATTTATACAATGGCTCATGAAATATAGCTCATCTTCTCTCACTATACAAAAGGATAGAAACGGTTTTCTGGTAATATTTTGGATTAACATAGCCCTGTCTATCAATATTTAAGACGTGGAAGGTAGTTCTAAACCATGTTTGTGAGAAGTCAGAGAGCTATAATATTTCAGATAAATTTCTTTACTTTTAAACGATTTGGGAAACTTGTACGAGTGTATCTTTTTTTCTAGCCTGTAGGTCAGTTTGTTGCATTTTTTTAAAAAAACTTACAGTGTCACTTATTTCCCGCACGAAAATGCAGTAGTATCGAAGTAGCAAAAAAGCATTAACGCAGTAGTGGTGTGGAGCATATTTGCAGTAGAAATGCAGCATAGCCTACTGCAATTCTACTCCAAAAAGTACATAGGTTTGTACAGAGAGGAGCATTAATGCAGTAGATTAGCAGCATGAGAGAAGCATGTTTCAAATATGCTAATTAGCTCCCAAAGCAGATTTGAAGCATGTTTGCAGTATGATTGCAGTAGTCTACTGCGGTTTGCAGTATGACTGCAGTAGTCTACTGCGCTGGAGTATCTAGTACTGCGTTTTCTTGCGGGTGCCTCAAAGGCGTAAGATTTATGAAAACATAGGGTCATGGAATGGTGTCGTCTTGGATATGGATTCTTTGATTTGAGGAGATCAGTTGAGTATAGATGGTAAGGCGTCGTCTGTAGACATTTTTGCAAACATTTTATTTTTTGCCATTTTTAAAGACATTGAGTTCATAATGTTCGTTAAATCCGTTTTATAATCAAAATCAATTTGCGATGGTTTTATAATACTTGCAACGACATATTTTATCATAACAATTGTCATTATTGCTTATTTCTTATTAATGCCAAAAAAAAAAAAAAAAAAAAAAAAACTGTAGTCTATGTAGTCTAGCATCAAGAAAAGTTTACATTAATATTGCTGGAAACTTAAAGTTTGTAACAACAAGTTTGCAAGAAAAAATATATTGCTGGTAATTTGCAGCCATATTGCAGCAAATCTAGGAGAAGGCATTGCAGTTTGCAGCGATATTGCAGCAAATTTACTGAAATTTGCCGCAGGCCTGATATTTTGCTAAGGGGTGACAGTATTGTTCCAAGAACAGTGAGGTTAGTTTTCGTGAGTTGTACCGTTCTACATGGGAGGGGAGGCACGGTGGTGCCTCATACCCTTCCCCCCCCCCCCAAACCCCCCAAAAAAGTACCCTCTTGTTGGAATGTATGCTAGCTACACGTATTTGCGTTAGCCGATTTCAGCTCCAGGGGCGAATTTTGGCAGATTTAGTCTTCTGGAAGACGGTCAGATTTTCATGTTTACATTGACAGGTATCTAATTTTTTCTGTTTGAAGACGGTCAAAAATTGAGGATGGATCAATAAAGATAATTTGGAGGACTGTCAGAAAATATCTTTGGATCCGCCCCTGAGCTCTGATAAATGTTCACTGGTAGAAGCATTTAAAATACTTCTCATTATACTTTCAGCAAGTCTCGATCTTTTATTTCAGCCAAATTTTCAGGGAAGCACAGGAAGCTCACCTCCACAACCAGTGGCAGTATTCTTGAGGGGAATCTCAAAAGCATACTTTTAGTCATAACAAACTGACACTCTACTTTGCAAGATTCTGAGATATTTCCAAGCATACTTGAACACCCATCTGGAGGTCAATTTGTATATCATGGAGTGGGTGAAGGTGAGATTAGATAAAGCACCAATGTACCAGTATTAGAAGGGAAATGAGGCGAATGTATTATTAACCAGTTATTCAAAATATTGAAAACCCTAACAATCCTGTAATTCTGATAAACAAACTGGTATTAAAAAAGGTTAAAATGCATGTTTTCCTCTTAAAGAAATTAGATATGGCATCTCCTCCCTTTCCTTTTTTTTTTTTTTGTTAGACTGCAATGCTTCTGGTAGGATGTACATGTATTCATGGCATTTATGGTAGTGCAATGATGGCAGATTGCCCCTCATTTGATAGGACAGCAGTAAGCTTGGACAAGCACTGGTGTAAAAATGATTCCACAGTCACATACACTGTAGCCAGGCAAAACTGTGAAGACATTTGCTCAGTCCTGGCAGTACCAACCAGTGGTACTGTGCTTTCATTTCACGAATTGTAAGTTTTTTATGTTTTGGTCATGCATGTTAAATGTTTAAACATTCATAATGGTAAAGGTAAGTTTCATTGTTTTCTTATAAAAATGTTAATGTTAAACAGCTTTAAGGTTACAGAAACATGGTGTGAAGTCAAATATATTGATAGGGAGGACATTTACAGAGGACATCTTTGATCATCACTTTTAATTTCTTTGACAGTAACAATGATTTTATTTCTTATTATTTGTGAACAGCACCCATGGCATCCAGCGTTGGATAGGCATAGAGAATAATGGCAGTGCCTGGTCTGGCATGGATCCTGGCTATAACAAATGGCCAGGTGGTGTAGAACCAAGCAGCAATGGGCAGTGTCAAGCAGCTACCTTCACATACAATATGACAACTACTTTAGTAACATTTTCAGAACACAGTTGTGAGGATAGATTCTCATACCAGTGCCAACAAGGTATTATGTAATGGTTCAGAAAATACAAATTAGTGGTGAAAATATGCAAATTTTATACCATTTAGTCAAATTTATAACAGGTTCCCCCTCAAATCCAATGTTTCACTGTGATTTCCACAGATGTAAAGAAATGTCTATTAAATTGAAAAGAGGTCATCAAATGTCACCAAATTTACACACAATTAGCATTAGGGTGTGCTCTTTAAAGGTCATGTGCCTAATAGCATGTGTGTCTACCGCGTACTGCAAATATCTCCTGTAAGCGGCAGGACAAGCCTTCAACAAGGGTTAAATTTCGGTTTTGTGGGATATTGTCCCATTCATCCCAAAGAGCATGGCGGAATTGGTCCAGATTATTTGCGAATGGGTTCTCCTCTGCCATGCACATTCCAAATAATGCCACAGGTGCTCAGTAGGATTAATATCAGGGCTTAAAGATGGTTGACCCATCCTCAGAGCCCCGTGTTTCTGCAACATATCGCTTGCCAGACGAGAGTTGTGAGCAACTGCGTTGTCACAAAGATGCCTGTAGCATCCCTGAAGTCACCTCTTGCAAATGGTGTGAGCTATCTGTTGAGAATGTTACAGTAAAATGCCCCCGTTACGTTTTGTTCCAAAAGGAATAATGTACTAATACAATGGGCTTGGAATGTTTTCCAAATGCAGACTGATCTAACACCTCAGGTGATATTATCCTGGATTGGATTTGAGGGGGTGCCTGTTGTAAATTTGACTAAATGGTATAAAATTTGCATATTTTCACCACTATTTTGTATTTTCTGAACCATTAATCATGTTACACATGGAATCTGAAATAAAAAGCACTATTTCCAACAATTTACAACTGTGAGGTGATAATTTGTAAATAAAAGTACATGGGAATGGGGGTGGGACAACCTTTTTGACCAATGTTGTACATGTAATGCTGTGGTGACATGCCGCCTACTTTTCGAATTTATTTTTGTATACTCTTTATATATAATTATTATAGAAATAAATCTGTTTGAAAAAGACATGTTGGAATGTAATATTTTTTGTTCAAATTAAGCACCCACAATAAATATATGAATTGATTTCTCGTCATATATCATTTAGGAATTTAACAGTAAAATTAATCTTTAGATAATCAGTTTTTATGAGAGCAGTCCCTAGTATAAACATATGTGGTTATGCAACTTCAGATGCTGTCCCACTCTTCTTAATCTGGCTACAAGTATTGTACGTCTTTTATCGATAAAGGTGACCTTGTTTTGTTTTCAGTCACTGCTCCTTGTGGTGCATCACCAAACATTGCCATGGCAACAAAGGTATACAGCCAGTGTAGCTCCAATTGTTGTTTTGTGGGGGGACAGATAAATTATACTTGCCAAGCAGGATACCAGCTCACTGGATTTGAAGGCTCCATAACATGTAACAGTGATGGGAACTATTCTGTTGATGCAAGTGTTGGAACTTGTGTTGGTGAGATAGATTCTTTAAGCCCAGAATGTACCAATGTTTAACAACCCTAGGCCTGCTATTTTGTTAAAAACTCCTCCAATTTTGACACCATTTTTTATCTCAGAGTTAAAAGTCTTGCTTGTTTGTAAAAATGTGGCGTTATTTTGAAGTTTTCTGAAAACCATTTTGTTCTGCCATTGATAGTGTCATTTCTGTTATCATTTTAAGTTATAATCAATTTTAATGCAAGTTAAGTCAATAAAAGTTACAGGATATGGATATATATAGTTACAAAATATATAAGAATGAGATGTGAAATGCAGTTTGTCATATCTTTTGTCTTGGTTTTTTTTCTTTCCAGCATTATCTTGCTCTAATTACACCCTAAACAGCAACAATCATGTGACAGGCAATGACACCAGTGGAAGCTACGTGTATGGAACAGTGATAGAGTTCACATGTGAGGATGGTTATGAGCTGGTCGGAGGAGGAGGAGCTACCACAAAACTTGTTAGATGTAATGCATCTGGAGCCAGAGTAGACTGGGACTCAACAGTTCCCACATGTCAGGGTACGTTTGTACTAAGTATTGTTGTTTTACCCATACCCTGAATATACCAATGTTTACAAGCCAGCTATTAATTTCTGTTAAAAAGAAACTCTTTCCATTTCGACACTTTTATTAATCTCAGAGTTAAAACTCTTGCTGGTTTGTAAAAATGTAGCACGATTATGTAGTTTTCAGAAAAAAACTATTTTGTCTTGCCATTGATAGTGTCATTTCTGTTTTCATTTTCAGTAATAATTGTTTCCAATGCGAGTACAAGTTACACATAGGAATGATATGTGAAATGCAGTTTGTCTTATCTTTTGTCTTGATTTTTTCTTTCCAGCATTTTCTTGTTCTAATTACACCCTAAACAGCAACAATCATGTGACAGGCAATGACACCAGTGGAAGCTACGTGTATGGCACAGTGATAGAGTTCACATGTGAGGATGGTTATGAGCTGGTTGGAGGAGGAGGAGCTACCACAAAACTTGTTAGATGTAGTGCATCTGGAGCTGGAGTAGACTGGGACTCAACAGTTCCCACATGTCAGGGTACGTTTGTACTAAGTGTTGTTGTTTTACCATTTCTACAAAACTTAAACGGGGTGAAGGAGTGGGCAATACAGGTGAAGTAACCATATACATGTATATGCCTATCAAAATAGTTTTAACTTCAGTACCGGTAGTTCCATGTGTCTGCAGGGGCTCTGTAGGTGTAACATACCCGGTAGATATATTGGAAAGGAGACAGATGGGTACAGATGGGTGTCCCAAAGCATTTTTATTTAAAGTATGTTTTTATGTGACATGTTTTTGAGAAAATCCAAAAATATAGCCTACATGTACAGGAACACCTACATATTGTGTTGTAAACGCATTAGTGATACGGTTTTTTGAAGAGAACTGGAGCTTAAAGTTTAAAAAATCATGCAAACTGTCATTAAAACTCTGATTATTTTGAATTTTTTTTCTTTTGTTCCAGTACCCCAACCTGCTTCCACAGCTGTCAGTAACTACCCAAGAAATGTATTTACTTGTGCCATAATAATATTATCAAACTTGCTTGTTTGGATACAGTTTTAAAGGACTTGTTCAAATGCAGCTTTGAAGGATAAACCAAGATGGTATTTTTGAATATCAAAGACTCTTTATAATTGATTTAATAATTAAATTTGTCATTGATTTGCTTAAGCTGTTTAACTGACCTGGTTGTAGAAAAAAAAGGGATAAAAATTGATTATTTAACACAAAGTTTGTTTTATTTCAATCTATCTGTACAATAATGTCAGGAAAAAAGGAAATATTTATAGAAATATGAGTACAATATTCAAGCTGAATAAGAGGACAAAAGTGAGAGAAGGTGGTATTTGAAAAGGGGACCCAGTTAGTTATCAGGGTGGTAAGGCTCATTCTTTGAAAGATCAGGCATACGTCTTTTAAATATGTATAAGCATTTTTTTTTTTTTTTTTTTTTTTTGGTGACATGACATCCAATTTTCACATTTTGATTATGACCATTTTTGTATTAAAGCTTCACCATTTGTACCCACATATAATCATGCTATTATATGAGAAAAATACCCCATTTTGGGTAACTTTTTTCACAGACACCCATAATGCATTACTTAATAAAATGCAATATAAACCTGTAGATTGCAAAATAAATTGTATTAAAAAACTAAAATGTTTATTTGCAAATCTTGAATGACTCTGCAAACCTTCAATATTTACAAGAGATACAGAATCCGCCTGGGTGTTCTAGTGAGTGGAGTACCTATCTACAGGTCTGGCGATGTTACAGGAGGGCCAATAACGGGCTCGTCGAAGGACTGAGCACAATGTAGGTGTATGTGGCAGGAAAAAGGAGCCAACTGATAAATGTTGCTGATATTTTTGCTGAAATGCATTTTTCCTAGATTATTAATATTAGACAACAACACGGAGTTGTACTTAGAGTTTAACTGTTGGGCTTCTCTGCTTTAAAAACCCTTTATATCTTATGTAATTTCACTTCCATTAAAAAAAGAAATGTATTACATGTATATACTTTCAGGTGATGTCAGGTGAGTTATGGGATTGAATAAAATGGCTACGTAACTGTGCGATCACATATTGTGGTTGGCAGGGTGGGGAGGGGGAGTCACAACCTGAAATTAAGGTATGCTGTATTTTTAATATGAAGTTTTTTTATTTGTAATTCAATATTATCTGAGTACACTGAAGTCATAACTTGTTAGTGAATCGTTTTGTACCTTGTATTAATGATGATTTGAATTCTTTTTCAACTGCTCACATTAATATCATGTTATTTTGTTCTTATTTCCAAATTGGGTAGAGTGATAGAAACACTAAATCAGTACATGTACGCATAATTTCATGATCAAAAATAAATTTTATGTTATCTCACACAGGTTTTCATAAAAACCTTTACTGTTATCTAAACAGATATGTCTGTCCACTTTAATGATACCTATTTTGTAAAGGTATATGTTAGTAGGCAATGGGTCTTAGCTGAGCTTACTAAAAAAAACTCTGACGACTTACTTGTGAATCACCAATAATCTCGTTTTTATTTGGTCTAGAAAGTAAGCCCTTAAACAAAACGGAAACGTTTTACTCTGACTTTTACTCGCATTGGTAATTGAAAACTATCTAGGCATTCAGCTACATTAAGTCTATCGTGGGCCAGTAATGCAAGGTATAAATGTTATATATGATTCTTTTATTCTCAATATAAAATCAGATTATATCTTGACAAGCATGCCCAATGCTACCATGTACATGTAGATCTTTTATGACACACTCTCTGTTAAGTTGCATTCACATATGCTTTAACAGAGGCAAAACTTAAAAACAGTTTGCGCCAATTCAACGTAAAATGAAGCGTCTCATACCTTTCGATTTCAGTGTAATTCATAACCTTGCTGATTAGGTAAAAACAGACCATATTTATGTTCCAGACCAGTAAACTATTTTGCACATGTACAGTAAGCATGATATTACCCTCTTCGTGCAGGGTGCCGGCGAAGACGCAGGCATGAAACAGGGCTGATAAACCTACCCTTTTATGCATGTTTCAGTCGAATCACCAGGAATTGAAATTACTCGGTACTTCATCTAAAACAGTCAAAAATGTCAAAGCTGTTTATTCTTTAATCCAAGGTCTCCGACCCAAAATACAGTTTCACCATGTTTTAACCGCTAGCGGTAATGTACTAAATACATATATGTACACCGAAAATGCGTAGACGTTATATTAAATCAACAAATATTAACATTTCCATAACAACTGATTCTCTTATTAATTATTATCAATTATTGTAAACATTTTAATAGTTAAATCCTTTGTTAACACTAAGTGAACTAGAAAAGCACTCCGAGAGCGCAGACCTCCGCCAAGGCAGCAATTTTTGATTATTATTGATTCTTGATCCGGATCACCACCAAAAACTTATCATTTCTTCCTTGGCCCACTTTCGACAGTTCCTGAAAATTTTATTGAAATCGGTCCTTTACTTTTTGAGTTATGTTGATGACAGACAGACAAACAAATAGACAGACAAACGGAGTGAAAACATGTGATAATGTAATTTTAGCGCAATAGTGGTGAGAAAAAGAACCGTTGGCCTATAATTTATACTGAAAGCATATCAATGAAGCAAATAAGTGTGATATACAGTATATAATTTTACCAGACTACATCAAGATTTGATATACCTTCACTAATGTAACTTGCGTCTTGAGTTTCTTGTTCGGTTCAATTGGTCACGGGACCCATGGCCAAGAACTTACACTTTTTCTTGTTTTATTCTGTAGTGCAATGATGTACCGGTATGAGAGACCATTCCCACAGATATTTAGATCGATCTTTCCCCCTGGGGAGTCTCACTAGGTTGCTGTCAGCTTTACTGGCTTATATGTCTGTCCCGCCTACTAAAGCTGTTAGGGGGTAAATAACTTTTTGGTAACGTGATGACGTTTGATAGGCTGGATGTTTTTTTGTAATCAAATGCAACACTGTCGTTGTGAATAGGTACAAATAACAAATGCAATAAAACACAATAGCACTCGATTAACGCCAAAAATTCTAATTATATACCCACGCTCGGCTGTCACCTTGATTGGATAGTAAACGATTGTCGTAATATCGCTAAATGATTTTAAAAAAGGGTGCATAAACTTGAAATCCACCTAGAACAACCTTAGACTGCCACATTAATCCAATACAATGCAAAAGTAAACTATAACAAGTGGTTAAAGCCTTCAAGCCGAATGTCGTAAAGTCCCCATATACATGTACCTCCATAGAGACCATAAAATAGAGTAGGCCTAGCTACTCGAGCTATTTCAGGTAAATTTCTTTACTATCACATGATTTGAGAAACTTGTAGGAGTATAACTTTTTTCTAGCCTGTAGGTCAGTTTGTCGCATTTTTTAAAACTTAAATGTCACTAATTTGCCTCAAAGACGTATTTAGATTTATGAACACAATAGGGTCATGGAATGGTGTCGTCTTGGATATGGATTCTTTGATTTGAGGAGATCAGTTTAGTTGAGTACAGATGGTAAGTCGTCGTCTGCAAAAATTTGATTTTTTGCCATTTTAAAGGCATTGAGTTAACAAATGTTTGTTCAACCCGTTTTATAATTAAAATGAATTTGCGATGGTTTTATAATACTTGCAAAAACATATTTTATCATAACAATGGTCATTATTGCTTATTACTCAGTAATTTACTGAGTACTGTAGTCTATTTCACGGCGTCTCATGCTAGCATCAAAAAAGTTTGCATCAATATTGCTGGAAACATAAAGTTTGTAGCAGCAAATTTACAAGAAGGAATTGCAGATTGCAGCGATATAGCAGCAAATTTGCTGAAATTTGCAGCAGGCCTGATATTTTGCTAAGGAGTGACAGAACTGTTCCAAGTACATTACATGTAATGCTAGTGTTTGTGAGTTGTACTGTTCTACGCTACCCTCCCCCCCCCCCCCCCACCAAAAAAAAAAAAAAAAAGTACCCCCTTGGTGATCAGTATTTTGGAATGTATGCTAGCTACATGCATTTGCATTAGCCTATTTCAGCTGCTCTGATAAATGTTCACTCTTCGAAGCATTTAAAATACTTCTCATCATACTTTCAGTGAGTCTCAATCTTCTATTTCAGCCCAATTTTCAGGGAAGCACAGGAAACTCACCTCCACAACCAGTGGTAGTATTCTTGAGGGGAATATCAAAAGAATACTTTTAGGAGCAGTCATAACAAACTGTCACTCTACTTGGCAAGATTTCTGAGATGTTCCAGGCATACTTGAACACCCATCTGATGGTCAATTTGTATATCATGGAGTGGGTGAAGGTGAGATTAGGTAAAGCACCAATGTATTAGAATGGAAATGAGGCTATTGTATCATTAATCAGTTATTCAAAATATTGAAAACCCTAACAATCCTGTAATTCTGATATGCAAACTGGTAATAAAAAGGATGCATGTTTAATTATAGTCTTTCCTCTTGTGAAGAAATTGAATATGACATTTTCTCCCTTTTCCTTCTTTTTTAGACTGCAATGCTTCTGATGGGATGCATTCATGGCATTTATGGTGTTGCAATAATGGTAGATTGCCCTTCATTTGATAGGACAGCAGCAACCTTGGACAAGCACTGGTGTAAAAATGATTCCACAGTCACATACACTGTAGCCAGGCAAAACTGTGAAGACATTTGCTCAGTCCTGGCAGTACCGACCTTGCATACTGAGATTTCATTTCATGAATTGTAAGTGTTTTTATGTTTTGATCATTTTTTATGTTTAAACATTCATAATGTAAATAAAGTAAGTTTCATTGTTTTCTTAAATAAAACTATTTAAATTTAACAGTTTGTGAACATTTACAGAAAGGTCAAATCTTTGATTATCACTTTTAAATTTCTTTGATAGTACATGTAATATAGTAATATCGTTTTATTTGTCATGCTGTACAGAATCAATGGCATCCAGCGTTGGATAGGCATAGAGAATAATGGCAGTGCCTGGTCTGGCATGGATTCTGGCTATAACCGTTGGCCAGGTGGTGTAGAACCAGCCAGCAATGGGCAGTGTCAAGCAGCTACCTTTACATTCAGGCATGGAAGTCCAGTAACATTCTCAGCACACAGCTGTGAGGACACATTCCCATACCAGTGTCAACAAGGTAATGTAGATAATGTTGATATAAGGAAACAAGTCTGGACACACAGAATGGCATGTTTTATGCAGATCAGTTCCAATATTGTTTTGTTCTCCTTTCTTAAACCACTAGCTGACAGTAAATCAAAAAACACACACACACACTTTAAAGAGATTCTGTATTCTGTAAGGAAGTTAGCCATTGTGTCTAGCACATTTGTTATTATTCTGTTGTGTTCACATGTCTTTCATACATGATATTTCTTGTTCAAATTGAGCACCCACAATAAATATTTATTGCACCAGCATTTATACCTCTACAACTGTTACCTGGGATTCCTAAGTCAGCCTCACTCTGAAGTAACAATTAAGCTATTTATTCTTAACTGGCTATTATTATCTGTCACAGAAGAGCAAGCATGCGTCAAGGTATAAGAATCTCCTCCGAGCCCAGCCGAGAATTAATTACAGCTTAGGAAGTAACTCGCTCACGCCACCAGTAATTACGCCACGGGGTATTCAGGGCACAGACCATGTTCACAAGATACCGCCAATAGATTTTTAGAAAATAGATTTTTCGTGTGGATGGTCCCTAATTACTCTGCCTACTACACTCGAGTTATGCTCCGTTGCATCACTGCCCAACAATACGTTGATGGTATAATTGGGCAAATGAGGAGTTCGCAGCTGCAGTCATAATAGGATGATAACATAAATAAACAAAACATGAGCATTTTAGTGACGGAGAAATTCAGAAACTCTTCCATTTAGCAATTAAAATATTAAAATATGTTAACTTTACTATTGCCTTGGGTTTATAGCAATAAAATCATAAATGTATTCTGAATCAAAATATTATATTATAGTGTCTTAAAAAATTAAAATCTTTGATTGATTGATGTCTTTTGTAAATGGAGGCAGTACATAATTCCAAATTAATGGATTTGAACACCCTCACATTTGTTATTCAAACTTTTGAGTATGAAAATAATGCCTTTAACACCAACATTTCCTTTTTTTATAATTTTGCAACAGTGTCAACAATTTTATGAGCTACAGTTACACCATGTGATATCATTTGAATTAAGCAAGCTTAGTTTAAGAAATACAAGAACCCTAATACATACTTATTATATGAGCCTTTTAAGCCTTTTAAAAAATGTTGATATAATAAGCTTTTGTCTCTATGTTTATATAAAGTAAAATATAAATTATATAAAATGTGAAGAAAAGTTACTATGGTTAGCTATGGTTAGTCAAACATTGTGAAAAGAAATAAAGAAATCAGTCTGCTGAGAGCCAAGACTTCCCGACGTGCGGTTAAACTGGTAGATCAGACTTTTCTCGGGCATAGCATTTTGCACTGGATTTACGCCAGCGCAACTGCTACACCTAACTTACAACCGGTTGGTACAACCAGGGAATTATATCTGATATAATTCCCTGGTACAACCGGGCACTGAGTTTTACAGTCAGTTAAATAAACCATGTAGCAGAAAACTATATGTCTTAGTTGTCTTATTGGTGAAAAAGAAATCTAAGAACCTGAATAACCAACAGCCTGGTTATTACACACTGTTCTTAATCTGACTACAAGTATTGTCTATTATTGCTGAAGGTGACTTTGTTTTGTTTTCAGCCACTGCTCCTTGTGGTGCCTCACCAAACATTGCCCAGGCCACAAAGGTATACAGCCGGTGTAGCTCCAGTTGTTGTTTTGTTGGGGGACAGGTAAATTACACATGCCAAGCAGGTTACCAGCTCACTGGATTTGAAGGCTCCATAACATGTAACAGTGATGGGAACTATTCTGTTGATGCCAGTGTTGGAACTTGTGTTGGTGAGATATTAGATTCTTTAAACCCTGAATTTACCAATGTTTACAAGTTACAACCCTGCTATTTTGTTAAAAACTCCTCCAATTTGACACTATTTTCTTTTTATCTCATAGTTAAAAGTCTTCCTTGTTTGTAAAAATGTAGCATGATTTTGAAGTGTTCTGAAAACCATTTTTTTTTTTTTGCCATTGATAGTGTCATATCTGTTTTCATTTTCATTTATATATATATATATATATTTTTTTTTTTGACACTTTTTTATATAAAGTTACAGAATATGTAAGAATGAGATGTGAAATGTAGTTTGTCTTATTTTTTGTCTTGTTTTTTTTTCTTTCCAGTATTATCTTGTTCTAATTACACCCTAAACAGCAACGATCATGTGACAGGCAATGACACCAGTGGAAGCTACGTGTATGGCACAGTGATAGAGTTCACATGTGAGGACGGTTATGAGCTGGTCGGAGGAGGAGGAGCTACCACAAAACTTGTTAGATGTAGTGCATCTGGAGCCGGAGTAGACTGGGACTCGACAGTTCCCACATGTCAGGGTATGTTTGCAGGGGCGGTAGGCCGTGTTCTGGGTCTTCCAGAAGACGGTCAGATTTTCAAGTTTTAATTGATGGGTATCCAATTTTTTCTGTTGGAAGACGGTCAAAAATGGAGTCTTGATCAACAAAGATAATTTGGAAGACTCTCAGAAAATATCTCTGGATCCGCCCCTGTGTTTGTACTAAGTATTGTTGTTTTACCCATACCCTGAATATACCAATGTTTACAAGCCAGCTTTTCCATTAAAAAAGAACTCTTTCCATTTTGACACTTTTTTTAAATCTCACAGTTAAAAGTCTTGCTTATTGTAAAAATGTAGCATGATTTTGAATTTTCAGAAAACTATTATGTCTAGCCATTGACTGTGTCATTTCTGTTTTCATTTTCAGTTATAATTGTTTCTAATTCGAGTAAAAGTTACACATAAGAATGAGATGTGAAATGCAGTTTGTCTTATCTTTTGTCTTGGTTTTTTCTTTCCAGCATTTTCTTGTTCTAATTACACCCTAAACAGCAACAATCATGTGACAGGGAATGACACCAGTGGAAGCTACGTGTATGGCACAGTGATAGAGTTCACATGTGAGGATGGTTATGAGCTGGTCGGAGGAGGAGGAGCTACCACAAAACTTGTTAGATGTAGTGCATCTGGAGCCAGAGTAGACTGGGACGCAACAGTTCCCACATGTCAGGGTACGTTTGTACTAAGTGTTGTTGTTTTACCATTTCTACAAAACTTAAACAGGGTGAAGGAGTGGGCAATACAGGTGAAGTAACCATATACATGTATGTGCCAATCAAAATAGTTTTAACCATGTATATCCAATCAAAATAGTTTTAACTTCAGTAGCGGTAGTTCCATATGTCTGCAGGGGCTCTGTAGGTGTAACATACCCGGTAGATATATTGGAAAGGAGACAGATGGGTACAGATGGGTGTCCCTATGCATTAAAAAAATCTACGATGGAGGTTTCAGTCTTAAATTTCACCTTTTTGAGTATGTTTTTATGTGACATTTTTTTGAGAAAATCCAAAAATATAACCTACATGTACAGGAACACCTACATATTGCATTAGTGATACGGTTTTTTGAAGAGAAATGGAGCTTAAAGTTTAAAAATCCTGCAAACTGTCATTAAAACTCTGATTATTTTGATTTTTTTCTTTTGTTCCAGTACCCCAACCTGCTTCCACAGCTGTCAGTAACTACCCAAGAAATGTATTTACTTGTGCCATAATAATATTATCAAACATGCTTGTTTACAAACAGTTTTAAAGGACTTGTTCAAATGCAGCTTTGAAGGATAAGCCAGGATGGTATTTTTGAATATCAAAGACTCTCAATAATAGATTTTTTGATTAAATTTGTTGTTGATTTGCTTATGCCGTTTAAATGACCTGGTTGTAGAAAAAAAGTGATAAAAATTGATTATTTAACACAAGGTTTGTTTTATTTCAATATATCTGTACAATAATGTTAGGAAAAAGAAAGGAAATAATTATAAAAATAAGAGTACAATATTCAGGCTGGGCAAGAGGAGAGAAGTAAGAGAAAGTGGTATTTGAAAAGGGGACCCAGTTAGTTATCAGGGTGATGAGGCTCAGTCTTTGAAAGATCAGGCATACGTCTTTTAAATATATATAAGCATTTTTTTGTGACAATACATCCAATTTTCACATTTTGATTATGACCATTTTTGTATTCAAGCTTCACTGTTTGCACCCATATGTACATACACTGTATATGATAAAAATACCCCATTTTGGGTAACTTTTTTCACAGACACCCATAATGCATTACTTAATAAAATGCAATATATACCTGTAGATTGCAAAATAAATTGTATTAAAAAACTAAAATGTTTATTTGCAAATCTTGAATGACTCTGCAAACCTACAATATTTACAAGAGATACAGAATCCGCCTGGGTGTTCTAGTGAGTGGAGTACCTATCTACAGGTCTGGCGATGTTACAGGAGGGCCAAGAACTGGCTCGTTGAAGGACTGAGCACAATGTAGGTGTATGTGGCAGGAAAAAGGAGCCAACTGATAAATGTTGCTTATATTTTTGCTGAAATGCATTTTCCTAGATTATTAATATTAGACAACGACACAGAGTTGTACTAAGGGTTTAACTGTTGGGGTTTTCTGCTTTAAAAACCCTTTATATCTTACGTAATTTCACTGCCATTAAAAAAAAGGAAATGTACTATATACTTTTGGGTGATGTCAGGTCAGTTGCGGGATTAAATAAAATGGTTACGTAACTGTGCGATCATATTTTGTGGTTGGCGGGGGTGGGGAGGGGGAGCCACAACCTGAAATTAAGGTATGCTGTATTTTTAATATGATGTTTTTTTATTTGTAATTTAAAATTATGTGAGTACACTGAAGCCATAACTTGTTAGTGAATCGTGTTATATTAATGATGATTTGAACTCTTGTTCAACTGCTCTCATTAATATAATGTTATTTTGTTCTTATTTCCAAATTGCATAGAGTGATAGAAGCGGTTAAACCTGTGCGTATAATTCCATGTTCAGAAATAAAATTCATGTTATCTTACACAAGTTTTCATGAAAACCTTTACTGTTATCAAAACGGATCAGACTGTCAACTTTATATTACTGATACCTATTTTACAAAGGTATATGTTAGTAGGCAATGTGTCTTAACTGAGCTTACCAAAAAAAACTTTGTCATCTATTTCTGGTGAATTACCAATAATCTCGTTTTTTTTTTTTTTTTTTCAGTCTAGAAAGTAAGCCCTTAAACAAAATTGAAACGTTTTTACTCTGACTTTTACTCGCATTGGTAATTGAAAACTATCTAGGCATCCAGCTACATTAAGCCTATCGTGGGCCAGTAATGCAAGATATAAATGTTATATATAATCCTTGTATTCTCATTATAATATCTGATTTTATCTTGACAAGCATGCACAATGCTACCGTGTACATGTCGATCTTTGACACTCTCTGTTAAGTTGCGTTAACATATGCTTTGACAGAGGCAAAACTTAAAAATAGTTTGTGCCAATTCCACGTTAAATTAAGCTTTTCATACCTTTCGATTACAATGAAATTCATAACCTTGCAGATTAGATTAAAACAGACCAGATTTAAGTCCCGGACCAGTAAACTATTTTGCACATGTACAGTTACCATGATATTACCTTCTTCGTGCAGGGTCCCGGCGACACCAGGGTGCCCGGCGAAGACGCAGGCACGAAACCGGTCTGATAAACCTACCTTTTTTAAGCATGTTTCATTCGAGTCACCAGGAATTGAAATTACTCGGTACTTCATCTAAAACAGTCAAAAATGTCAAAGCTGTTTATTCTTTAATCCAAGGTCTCCGACCCAAAATACAATTTCACCATATTTTAACCGCTAGCGGTAATGTACTAAATACATTTATGTACACCGAAAATGCGTAGACGTTATATTATATCAATAAATATTAACATTTCCGTAACAACTTATTCTCTTATTAATTATTATAAATTATTGTAAACATTTTTAATAGTTAAATCCTTTGTTAACACTAAGTGAACTAGAAAAGCACTCCGAGAGCGCAGACCTCCGCCAAGGCAGCAATTTTTGATTATTGATTGATTATTGATCCGGATCACCACCAAAAACTTATCATCTTTTCCTTGGCCCACTTCTGACAGTTCCTGAAAATTTCATATAAATCGGTCTATAACTTTTTGAGTTATGTTGATGACAGACAGACAAACAAATAAACAAACGGAGTGAAAACATAACCTCCTTGGCGGAGGTAACAATGTGATATTGTGTTTTTAACGTAATAGCGGTGAGGAAAAGAACCGTTGGCCTATAATTTAAACTGAAAGCATATCCAATGATATCAATGAAGCAAATGCAGTAAGTGTGATATACAGTATATAATTTTACCAGACTACACCAGGCCCGTAGCCAGGGGGATTAGGGGGGTTCGAAAGAACCGCCCCTTTTGCTGGGAAAAGGTCCACTCTGGGTAAAATTTGATCTAGGTACATGAAGTTTTTATGGGAAAGGGTCCACTTTTTCAGAAAAAGAACCCCCCTTTTGAGATTGCTGGCTACGGGCCTGACATCAAGATTTGATATACCTTTACTAATGTCACTTGCGTCTTGAGTTTCTTGTTCGGTTCAATTACATGTAGGCCTATTTCTGATTGCAAATTCAATTTCCTCTAGTTTTGCCCAAATTAATTTCCGTGCTTGTGTTAGAGGCTTCGCTGTGGGACCTTTTTGCCGGCTGACTGGTGGATTTCTTATCAGCTGTAATTTTCATTCTGTTCTTGTCAAAGCATTTTGATTTGCTGTTTAAGCTCATGGTGATATATCTAGATATAGATAGGCCTATGCATTTTCGAGGCAATAAGGGTGCACTTGAACTATTGCTACCCAGTGAGCAGTACTCACTGATGCACCCGTATTGTAGCGCCTTGTCACGATCTATTGTCAGCTGTATAGTGGCAGTATGTGATAGATACAATACGAGTCGCCGAGCTGTACCTGAAATATTACGAGTGTATTGTCGAGCTGCAGGCGAAACAATACACGAGTAATTTTCACGTACAGTTCAGCGACGAGTGTTTTATCTGGCTTAAACCACGGCCTCTACTACAGTGCTACTAGTGCTGCTGATTGGCTACTACACTTCTCTTGCGATATTTTACTCATACATGTTAGGGGCCCTTGTGGTCACTTACACATACTGGACAATAGAAGGGGAGGTAAAGCCCCCTTTACACTGGATGGCGTCCTTTCTGCGCCCAGCAGTACGGCCCCATTTGAGAGTTAAAAAATGATAATACTTTACGTGCCGACAACTGGCCGATCATTGAGCATTCATTCTGATACAAAATCAATGCTCGTGCCTCCTTATTAAGACCACAGCAATGCCAAATTTCATGGTCGCAGAAAGGACGCAGAAAGGACGCCGTCCAGTGTCAAGGGGGTATAAATGACTGTGGAATGATATGCTCCTGGTATCATTTTATTAACATCAAATTTCACAAAAGAAACGGTTCTGACTGAACAATTCATGATCAACTGTGTCGATATTCTGACATTGCATATATTCCGCCTCTTCAGGTTAATAATTTTGATTACTCTGATTCAGGGGGTGACACTTCCAGGCCAGTAGCTGGGAGGGGGGGGGGGGGGGTTAGGAGGGTTCGAAAGAACCGCCCTTTTTGCTGGGAAAAGGTCCACTCTGGGTAAAATTTGATGTAGGTACATGAAGTTTGTTATGGAAAAAGGTCCACTTTTGCAGAAAAAGATCCTCCCTTTTGAAATTGGTGGCTACGGGCCTGACTTCTATTGTCCAGTGTGTGTAGTCCTGTGTTGGACGATGGAGGACAAGGCTGAACACGCCTTTACAGCCCCCCCCCTCGACCGAATTCAGTCCCAGCCATTTCGTGCAGCTGCAGCAGCAGCACCACCAGTAGCTGCAGCAGTTTAGATACTGAGAAGTTCCCCAAAAACACTATACTTCTTCTCCCCATCAATGGCGGATTTAAAAGGGAGGAGGGGTCTGACCTCTCCTTCGGTTTCTGATAAATATATACAACACCAACATTCCCCTCTTGAAATTAAAATTTTGACTAGATAAACAATAGTTCTAAACCGTACCGAAGTGCACTGTTTGCTCTCAAAAACACCCAAAAATTTCTCCAAACCTTTGAACAGGCCCCGAACTCCACACCAAGGGGGCGACGGTCGGTTTCACATGTGAGGTCTGTCGTTCCGCCCCCACCCCTTCAAATAATCCTGGATCCGCCCCTGCCCATCATGTAATGATGATGAGGATACCTTGATACTTCATGTGCCTTCACAGAATAAGAAAACTGTCATTGTCAAAGAAGGCAGGAAATTTACTTTGGAAGTGTAGATTTTTAAACTTTCGTTTTCACATTCTGTAGGCCTATTGTGAGCAAGTTGTCGTTCAAATTCGAGAACGCCAATTTTCAGTTTTTGGGTAAATGCTGTTTCGTGATATGTTACCTTTGATCAATTTACACAAAAATTTGGAAATATTACTGATTTTGTTACATTTCAAGGTATGATATCCGCTGTAAAAAATACCAAAAAGAGCTTGATATTGACATCAAAGGAAAAAATAGATTATCCATGTTTACCTACACAAATATCGTGGTTGATAAGATTTAGTAAAGGGTGTAAACAGTTCTATGACTTGCAAGTAAATTCAGACATACAAAGATATAAATCTATGGAAAAATGGGAACATTTATAAGAAAACACTTTTAAGGATAATACTTAAAAAATTAATAGTTTACCATTTACCTGTACAAAAGAAACAAAGTTGGTTCCAGTTCAGAATTATAAACGGAATACTATCCACTAGAGATTTTTCGTATAAAATTGGAAAAGTTCCAGATAAAATCTGCTGTCTCTGTAAATCTAATACAGAAACATTACAACATTTGTTTTATATATGTGAAGTTATAAGAACATTATGGACAGAAATAAATGCTTGGTTAAGACAAAAATTATACAGAAATTTGACTATATTAGAAAAACATGTTATGTTGGGTTTTACAGAGAGAATGAACAAGAAGTTAAACTGTATTATTATTATTATTATTATTATTATTATTATAAAATATTATATATACGGATGTGCTTATCAAAACACTCTTCCAGTGTTGGAAGTAGTAAAGAAATAAATATAAAATTTTTATTTGAAGTCTACTCTTATATATAAGTATAAAGATTTTTGTATCATATTGTATAATAAGATGTTATAATTATAGAAAAAATTTCTAATATTCTCCTTCATTCTTTTATTTTCCTCTCTCTTCTTCCTTCTCCGGTATATAGATAAAAACAATTCACAAAGTTTTTTTATATG